GGCGTGCCCTTTCACACTTGTGCGGTCGTGCTGGCAGGGCTCTTCGTGGCGTGCCGTGGGCTGCTGCTGCGTGGCAAGCAGGTCAAGAAAAAGAGGGTTGAGTGCCGCAGCTACGCAGCCGACTCCGTGCATTTGCTCGCCAGAGATGCGCCTCAGCGGTCTGTGGTCGCCAGTTCCTCGTCGCGGTTCCACTGGGCGCTGCTCACGCTTGCGGCACCAGTACAGCTGGCTCAGGCTGCGCAGCTTCAGCCCGTCCTCGCAGCAAACTCCTCCGTCGCGTACTGCGCTTGCGGCGAGCTACGCCGTGCCTCGCTCGCGCCCGCCGTCTTCGATTCGATGCGAAGCAAGCTGCCTAGTGGCGACTGGTTTTTGGTCAGCTCTGGCCAGGCTTCTCTCGACGGGAACGACAGAACCGCCGAGACGCCAGGGCTGTGCGTCCCGGGCCGGCTGGCCGCATGGGCATCGATAAACAGCACAGAGCAGACCAGCGACGATAACGACAACTGCCATCAAAAGTTGGTGCAGCATCGGAAGACGCACGCCAGCTGGATGCGGCTGCAGAAGATGACTCGCTGCGTGAGCCTGGTTACACAGCATGAACGCTCTCGACACCTGCAGTATGCCTTCCTCTTCCTCACACGCCCAGACCTCTACCTGTGTTCCGTTAGCCGCTTCGACCTGACCGCGCTGCCTGAGCAGAAGATCATGATATTTGGGCCAAGGGTGGGGCGTGGAGCACAACGGGTGGATGATGGAGTGGTGGACTCTGTGCGCGACCACCTTATTGCTGCGAGGCGCGACACAGCACTCTCGCTGGTGCGGCACCTCATGTTTGACATAGCAGACTGGTACTGCTCGGTCCAGAACGTGGCCAGCAGCCTCGCCTCCAGCTGTCCTGTTCATGAAGGGCTGGGCCGCTTCGGCGACGCAACGCTCGAGTGCTGGATCGGGAGGCGCATGCAAGCAAATAATTGGAAGGCGAGCTATGTCAACGTCGACTTCACGCTGCTGCGCACCAATACCAGCACAGCTGAAGGCACTCGGTATGGCTCGGTGCAGTGCACCCTCCATGGCCGATCGCACCGGCCCGACCCAGCCTGCCTGCCCGCCCGCCCGGAGAGTTAGCCCATCGTGCCACGATGGTGACCTCGCGATGGTGATGGTGACCTCCCTCGCCACCGTCACCGTCACCATCCCCGTCGCTACCGCCCTTCATCCCCGCCGCCCTTTGTTTCACACTCGTCTCTGCCATGTCCGCCGTCGCCGCCGTCCTGTCTGCTGCGCTCTGTGCTCCGTGGTACAGTCGTTTATTGTTGCTCAGGACACTCACGAGGGCGCGCGGCGGTTGGGGATGTATTTTCTTTTTAATCCTTTAAATAAATAAATAAAAACGGACACCTCGATCTCTACTGTGAGATGGGTATAAAGGAACAGGTCCCCGCCCTTGCGATCTTTGTGCAGGGTTCTTTGTGGGTGTGGTCGGCGACTAGCTTTTTAATCCTTTGCTTGTCTGTTTTGTTTGATCTTTCTTTCTTTTTCTTTCCCTCGGGGCACACGAATCTCGCCGTGCAGGGTGAAATGACCCACTCGGGCCGGCACACGCGGAGCACCTCCTCCTGCACCGTTGCCGAAGTCGCCGCAGCAAAACTGACCCCAGGGATTCCTGCTCGGGGCTATAACGGACGGAACTGATCGCAGCAAAACCGCCCCCAGGATTTCGGTCTTCGGTTTCGTCGCACAGCATAGGTTTCATTTTCATAGTCGGCCGTCCTAGGACGTACGTCATTTCCGGTCTCGATTTCGGTTCTCGCGTGTATCTCGCTGCGCATTGGGAGTTAGCGCGCTCGCAGAGCGGCGCCTGCTAGCCGAGCGCGAATGCCTGGGTCGCTGAGCTCGCGCCGGTGGCCAACTGCGCCTCCGTGGCGACGCGCTCCGGCCACGAGCGACGTGCCAATCTTCACTTTGAGCTCGCTTGGCAGCCGCCGAGTGCGAGAGGAATTTAAACGGCCGAGCTGACCAGGCAGCCAGCCGACTTCCCGTACCGGTCAGCGCACGTGCGGCCGCGCGTGTACGGGGCGGGGCGTACACGCGCGGCCGCACATGCTCCGCCTCGACGGCCGCCTCGCGCTCGCTCGAGGTCTGCTCCGCCCGAGCAGCGAGCTCTCAGGTGCGGGCTCTCGGGGCGCCGACCAGCTGGTAGGGAGGAAGGTCGAGCGCGACGCCGCGGAGCCAGGGCAGCGCGGCCGGGGCTGGGACCGTGAGCGGCGATCGCGCTCCGAGTCGCCCAGCGACGGCAAGGCAGGACGACGAGGCGCGACGGCCGTTGAGCGGAGGGCTGGCACGAGTTGGGAGGCAACGGGGAGAAAAAAGAATTACGTATCCGACGATCAAATCGAGGAAGGCGGATCCGCAGCGAGCGCAAGCGCTTCCTGCAGGTGTCGAGCTGCTTGAGGACGGCGTCCGCAACTTTCACGTCCTGCTGACCGCGGGGTAGTAGTCCGTGGTTAGCGCCCGCCCCCCTCCGCCCGTCCCTACTCGAATTGCTCTGGCGGCGCCCGCGGCATCCCACGCCCATCTTCGGGTGCGCCTTGTTGTCGAAGATGGCAGAGTTGCGCCTCGCGACGATGGCCGAGTGCACCTGCAGGAAGCGCTTGCGCTCGCTGCGGATCCGCCTTCCTCGATTTGATCGTCGGATCCGTAATTCTTTTTTCTACAGCGGCATTGTGCACGGAGCTAAGTGCATTGCCGTTCTTAACGGAGTCGCTTAGGCGGCTCCGGTGGTGTGCCGGTGATAGTACTAGCACGCGCCAGTTCGCACCTGTGTCGAGCCTGTGTGCTAATAAATAAATAGAGCAGTCATCTCCAGGGAGAGATGGGCGACGCACACGAACACAGAGGGACAGTGCGCACCCCGCCCCGCTCGCAGGGCGTGCAGCACACAGCAACACAAGACATATCTAGGTGCTGTGCGCCTCCTCGGGATTTCTGGGGAGGTAGGAGTGTGTGTGTGTGTGTGTGTGTGTGTGTGTGTGTGTGTGTGTGTGTGTGTGTGTGTGTGTGTGTGTGTGTGTGTGTGTGTGTGTGTGTGTGTGTGTGTGTGTGTGTGCTCGCTCGCTCGCTCGCGCGCGCTGCTTGCGCGATCGCGCGCGCTGCGCGAGCCGCCCTGCCCGCTGCGCTGCTAGGGATGCGCTGCGGGAAGGGCTCGGCGGCCGTTCCTAGAGCTCCTCGTCGCTCCCCTCGTAGAGCGAGGGCTCGTTGGACTCGAGGCGTGGACCGCCGTCGTAGGGGGAGCGTGCGGCTCCGCGGGCGACGCTCGCCCAGTCCTTCTTGTTGCTCTTGACCTCGCCGCCGCCGCCGCCGCGGCCGCGGCCGCCGCGCCCGCGCCGCCCGCGGCTTGTGCCCAGCCTGACCGCGCTCGGCATGCGCTCGTAGATGGTGTCCTTGAAGGCGGAGTGGAGGAGCGCCTCGAAGTTGACACACGGCGCGTAGCCTGAGCCCTGGTCTGACAGCCTGACAGCAAACTCCGGACAGCGCCTGACAGTGCCCGACAGCCTGACAGCGCTGACAGCACTTTCTCTGACAGTCTGACAGCACGTATCTGACAGCCTGACAGCAGAACCTGACAGGCGAGGTGACCCGTCGCTGTCAGGCCCTAACGTGACAGCCTGACAGCTGCCTGACAGCCCGACAGCACACAGTGGCCTGACAGCAGCGCTGACAGCCCGACAGCAGCACAGACCGTACACAGACCCCGTAGAGCCTCTTTCTTGTGCCCCATGAGGGTATAACAAAATTACATGCAAAGACATGCACATGTACATGTGCATGTGAGTGTGGTCCATGCAGTCATGGGATGGTCATGGGTCTCTCTCAACCCTCCCGCCCCACCTCTGCGGACCTCTCTCTAGCACCGGCGGCTGTGCTACTACAAATGAAGCTACCAGCTAGCCTTCTGGGGCCCTACAGTCATATGCCTACGGCGTCTGGGTGGGGGTGGCCGCCGCCGTCTGTGCCGCCGCCGCCGCCTGCGCCTGCGCCGCCATCTGCGCTCCCCAGGCGGCCGCCGCCGCCGGCGTGATCACGCCGTAGGAGGCGGAGGCAGCTGCGTAGCCGCCGGCGTCATCGGCGTCAGCGCCCCCTTGATAGTCAGCGCCCTCTTGATAGTGTCATAAGTGTGGCTGGTGTGTGTCAGAGCCTGACAGCACCCCGACAGCACCACCTGACAGCACCTGACAGCAACAGCCCAACGTCTGACAGCAGCAGCAGCCTGACAGCTCTGACAGCTCCGACAGCGTCTGACAGCAACACCCGACAGCTCCGACAGCACCCGACAGCTACAGATCACCTCGCCTGTCAGACACGCACCCGACAGCACCTGACAGCACTGACAGCACCTGACAGCTGGTCTGACAGAGGCACCTGACAGTGCCTGACAGCTGCCCGACAGACCGACAGATCACCTGACAGCACCTGACAGCCTGACAGCCAGGGCTCAGCGCGTAGCGGCAGCGAGCGGCGGTCTTGCACGGGAGGGCGGTCTGGTTGTAGGCCGGGCAGAAGCCGATCCCGTCGCGCGCCGCCATCGCCTTGGCCTTGCCCGCCGCGCGCGCGACCTCGACCTTGAGCCTGTAATAAATAAATACAACGGACACGCCAAACGAGGGGTGGGAGAAGGACAGGGTCCCCACCTGCACAAGCAGGATCTTGTAGGACGATCAGGGACACAGGGGAACGGGAGCGGGGAGCGCATCGCGACACGGAGGGGGGCTGGGCAGGGGGTTCACCCTCACGACAGGAATCCCATCTCTCGTATAGGACAGGTTGCACCCGGCGGCACGGGGGCAAGCGCGGGCCTCCTACTGGTTGCGCTCTCCTAGTTCTCCTGCTCCTGAGCCTGTGTGCTGTGAGAGAGAGCCGGGCTGAATTCTTTTTTCTCCCCGTTGGCGCGAGAGCGGCCGCTTCCACAGTCCAGAGTCCGTCAGGACCTGCTCCAGAACGGGATGACCTCGATAGAGAAGCTCTCGATCCGTGGCATCCGCTCGTACAGCCCCAACTCGGCGCAGGTCATCCAGTTCGACAAGCCGTTGACGCTCATCGTCGGCAAGAATGGCTGCGGCAAGACGACAGTCATCGAGGCGATGAAAATGGCCTGCACCGGCGACCTGCCGCCCAACTGCAAGTCGGGGCAGGCCTTCATCAACGACCCGTCCCTCCACGACCAGACCGAAGTCAAGGCGCAGATCCGGCTCAAGTTCACGTCGCTGATTGGCCAGCCCGTCGTGTGCGTCCGCTCCTTCTCGCTCACGCAAAAGGCGACCAAGAAGGAGTACAAGGCGTTCGAATCGGCGCTGCAGACCTTCGACAGCGCGGGCAACAAGCAGTGCCTCTCCTACAAGTGCGCAGACCTCAACAAGCTCGTGCCCGAGATGATGGGCGTCTCCCAGGCAACCGCCGCCACCGCCGCCCGCCGCCCGCCACCGCCGCCCGCCGCCGCCACCCGTCGCCCACCACCCGCGCCCAACTACCCGCCGCCCGCCGCCCAACTACCCGCCACCCACTCTCCGCTGCCCGCCGCCGCCGCCCACCCCCGCCGCCGCTGCCCGCCGCCGCTGCCCGCCGCCGCTGCCCGTCGCCGCTGCCTGCCTCCGCCTGTACACCCGACCTTTTGATAGCCCCTCGCATCTCTTGTCAGTCATAAGCTTCACCATCTCGCTGGGCCGTCCCGAGCTCTCTGTGGAATTCCGATTGGTTGCCCACTTTACAATGCATTAGTCTTCCTATCAGGTCTCGACCACTACCCTCCCGAGTTTTAGATCCTGTTTCCTACATGTGGGCCCGGCGGGTCACCTGGGGCCTTTTTAGT